GAGCCGAGTAGAGTACGAGCAGGAGAGGCAGACGAGGAGAGGAGAGAAGCAGAGGAGAGTCAGAGAAGGGTGAGTCCAGAGAGTAGAGGAGAGTGACGTGGAACGAGGAGAGGAGTGAGAGGAGAGAGAGAAGAGAGAAGGAGGAGAGAGAGAGCTGAGTCAGAGGCGAGAGAAAGAGAGATGAGAGAAAGAGAGACGGAATGAGTGACGTGAGAGATAAAGAGGAGAGATGATGAGCCTGAGGATCTAAGTGATAAGAGTTCGTCACTCGTCTACCTTTCCCCATATTTCTGTGATAAAGACAAAGAGAAGAGAGAGGATAAGATTTCAATATGATTAGATGATATAAGAGAGAGAGAAGAGAGAGAGCAGGAGAGAGAGATGAGAAGAGAGAGACGAGACAGACGAGAACGAGGAGGAGAGAGAGATGGAGCGAGAGCTGAGAAGCGAGAGAGGAGCGAAGAGAGAGAGAAGAGAGAAAGAGAGAGAGAGAGAGAAAGAGAGAGGAGAGAGAGAGAGAGAGAGAAGAGACGAGAGAGAGAGAGAGAGGAGAGAGAGAGAGAGAGAGAGAGAGAGAGAGAGAGAGAGAGATAGAGCGCGCGATAGCGAGAGAGAGCTAGATGAGAGATGAGTAGAGTTCTAGGGGCAAGCAAGCAGATGGGGAGGAGAATATCGGAGAACATAAAAGTATAACACGCACAAATGACGCCCCATCAACATCAGATCGGCAGGAAAAGGAAAACAGGTTACAATGCAACGCGAATAGTTCCTTCCATTAGATTGATTCGCTGCAATGAGGCAATATGAGAAACTATTATTCCACGAATGCGCCGCGCCACGAATCTCGCGCTTATGGCTCTGCTATTAGGGCTAGCTACCCTAACTCGACCGTTTCCGCATGACCGCTCTCATTGAGACCTCCCGTGCACAACAAAGCACGCCCGTGTTCGCCGCCTGTCTATTTAATATCGAGGTATTTAAGCTGGTCACCGGGTTTATCGCCGGCCGAAATTCACCGCCATGATCGATCGAACAGGAAAAAGGACATCTGTCAGTCAGTGACCGCAAACTGCCGATAGCCACGGTCCATATCAGAGCCTACGGGGTCACGGATCCCGGATGCCGGTAGCTCGATGATGATGATGATGATGATGGTGGTGGGGATGGGGGGGTGGGCTGCCAAGACAGCAGAATCATGTCTATTTATTTACGTTCAGGTTATAGCCCTACTATTGGCGGTCTAACTTCACTCGCACTCGTCATCAAGCGTACAACTACGAGGGGGGTGAATACGTGGTCTACTACTACTACCATGGAGAAGACGCTTGTCTGCCTGTTTTTTTTTTGTCTACGAATTTATTCACACGTTGGAAGTCACGAGTCATCGCAACAGTGGAACACTATAGTTGCTGGCACATTTCAATGAACATCCCCTGAGTAAATATTTGTGACCCGCTCCAGCATAATACGGACTAAGTCGCAAGTCATTGTTTTGAGTAATGAGCACGCACACATATGTCAATGCTGAAAATGGCCTACCTGGACAAAAATGAGATTTTTACAAAAATAAGTTCCTAAGTGCATATTTAATCCGGATATATATAGGTTCAGATATCTCTAGATTTTTATGACCATTTTTAATTAAAAAAATTTTTTTTTCAAGGGCCCCTGACCGCTCATCCCCGACTGGGCCCCTTACCCGGAACGCTTTATCTCAAAAGCTGCATATTCCGGAATAAGTCGGTTTCCGATCTTCAAATTGCTGTAGATCGGTCAATTCTTTAGATATAGCCAAATATTATATATCATTTTAAAGGTGATTAAATGATCTACTCATGCAGATATGCACATAACTCAATTTGTAGAATTTCCTACTTAATCCTGGTTTTGCTGGAGCGGGTCACATTTTAGAAGAACGTTGTTGTGCCTAGCTTAATTTCAACCACAATTAAAATCAAATTGATTGCTGAATAGAAGCCTCTGAATGTAAGAAAACGCGTGGGAAAGACGCCCATCAGATCATAACAGATCCGTAACCATGACATATACACACGATCACGAGCAACTTACACTCACGCACGCATGCACACACGTACGCACGCACACAGGCATTGAGTCACGCACGCACGCACGCACCCAGGCATGCATGCACGCACATACATAGGCGTTCAGTCACACACGCAGGCACGCACGCACGCACCAACGCACGCATGTACGCACGTACAGAAGCATTCAGTCACGCACGCACCCACGCATGTATGCACATATACAGGCATCCAATCACTCACACAGGCACGCACACAAACATCCAGTCACGCCCGCAGGCACGCACGTAGCCACGCACACATGCATGCACGCAAATAGATGCACAAACCAGGATACACGCAGATAATTGCGCAAACCACATGCAGCACACACAACGACGCGATCTCTCACCTTGATCTCTAATTCTACGTATCTGCTTGACAGTCTCTTGCAGTACGGCGCACTTGTCAGGCTTTAAAGAGAATGTGTTCATATCACCGATGCTGGAAGAGATCAGCTCTGCCAGCTCTTCTATGTAGCCGTTCTCCTGATCCCGCCTGTTTTTCTCCTTAAGGCACTTCTCTCTGTGGAGCAAAGAAAAACGCAAACAGTTACGCACAACTTACGCACGAATTATGCACGACTTACAAGCACATACTTCTTGTTATATGCATACATAATAAATACATGATAGGTACCTATGCACTACATGTTCCTTCAGCACTGAGACTGTACGGCTAAATTGCTAAACTAGCTTATGGGACATTGAGGACATACTGAAACACGGATATATATTCAATGCATGCCATCCACATTCACACTGTGGAAGGGGCTGAGATGGGAATGGGCTTTAGTTCTATAGTGTCCTGGTCGGGCATACGCACACACTGTTAAAAGAGAAGGATCTGGCCTCGGGTAAAACCTGCCCTGGACACGTAGTGCTAACCTCACACGAGAAAACTAGACAACTTCGTAAGAAAACCCGACAGCTCGGTGAGAAACGAAAACCCCGTCCGCTCGAAAACCAGATCCCCGTTGTCGCTAAGACACCGATGGGAAGGTGACCGAAGCTCCAGCTGGCGTCACCGTCCTTCTGGCTTCACAGCGTGCCTGCGCGCGTAAAGTTTCTCTCGCGCATCCCCCGTGAAAAGGATAATGTCCTCACGACAACTAGCGAACGACTGTTGACGGTTAGCTTCCGTGCGCTCGCCCACGCGACGCACGTGAGGCCTCTCACCCCCCCCCCGTGTCGGTTTTTACTCCAATCATCTTGATCAAACGACAGGACGACGCTCGTCGCTAAGCCCTTGCTTTGTTCGCTGTTACAGGCAGCAGCAGCAGCAGCAGCAGCAGCAGCAGCAGTAGCAGCGAGCAGTGGTGGCGGCAGCACCAGCAGTAGCAGCAGCACTGTCATCATTGTCGTCGTCGCTGGCACTGAAACTTCAGTCATCGTCATCCTTGTCATCACCATGCACCATCACCATCAGTAGCAGTAGAAACAACATGATAATTGTCAATGGCACCATCAACGTATTCATCAGCAGCAGCAGCAGCAGCGACAGCAGCAACAGCAACACCCATAACCGTAAGTAGCTTCATCATCATCATCATCATCATCATCGTCATAATCATCATCATCATCATCATCATAATCAACATCGTCACCATCACCAGCAGCAGCAGCTAATATAACCCGAGCACTATTCTATGAGTAGGATGTCTGAGACCTCTCTGCTGCCGCCGGCGAGCATCCATTTGCTAAATTATAACCTGTGACTAATACTGACTATATGCATCTGTAATCCGTGTGAGGCAGAGGACACTGAGTGAGACGTGACGCGCACCAGCAGCAGCAGCAGCAATAGCAGCAGCGCCAGCAGCAGTAGCAGCAGCAGCAACAGCATCAACAGCCGAGAGCAAGAGCGCGGCTTTGCAAGAGATGCGCCGAACCCACGGTGTGCAGACATCGCAGTCAGGTAGGCTGGCTAACACGGGTAGAGTAGCATATTGCACAGCCAGCTGTTTATAACGCGTACGTTGTTGTGTGTTGTGGTACGTGTCACACAATAGAGAGGGATAGAAAGGGAACAGCAAGAGAGCAAGACACTGAAAGATGGAGCCGGAGACAGGCGGGAAATGAGGAAGGAGGAGAGAGAGACAAGCAGACAAAGAGGGAGGGATGAGTGCATACAAGAGAGAAAGAGAGCGAGCGAGAGAGGATGATAGTGTGAGAGGCAGGGAGGAGGGAGAAAGGGAGAGATCTCGCCATCAACGCGTGGCTGCCATCATCACCATCTAAAACCTCTCATTATAGTAACACGTTGTTCGTGCGTGCGCGTCGCATCTGTCGTTTTGTTCAGACAATGGTGATACACGACACACACACGCACGCACGCACGCACGCACACACACATAGATAGATACACAATCGCCATCTTAATATACGATGATGTGCTGTGGTGACATTTTCTCTTCCATAGTTGTTACATTTCTTAACTACTCTCAGCTACGATGGTTTCGCAACACCGACTAATAACTTTTATCGACCAAGCGACGACGTATTCTACTTCGGCGTCTCTTTCTGTGTGTAACCCTTCCGTATGTATACCCCCTTATCATCTGTGTAAACCCTCTTCCTATGTCTAGACCCTTCTGTAAGAATCCGCTTCCTGTCTACTCCCCTTCTCCTCGGTGTGCATGTATACCCTCTTTCTATGTTTATACACGTCTGTGTACACCCACTTCCTATGTCTACACCCCTACGGTACCCACCCTCTTTCTATGTCTATACACGTCTATGTATACCTACTTCGCATGACTCTACAACCTACTGTACCAACCCTCTTTCTATGTCTAATTGTCTATATACGTCTATGTATACCTACTTCGCATGACTCTACACCCTACTGTACCCACACTCTTTCTATGTCTAATTGTCTATACACGTCTATGTACACCTACTTCGCATGACTCTACACCGTACTGTACCCACCCTCTTTCTATGTCTAATTGTCTATACACGTCTATGTATACCTACTTCGCATGACTCTACAACCTACTGTACCGACCCTCTTTCTATGTCTAATTGTCTATATACATGCACGTCTATGTATACCTACTTCGCATGACTCTACACCCTACTGTACCCACCCTCTTTCGATGTATAATTGTCTATACACGTCTATGTATACCTACTTCGCATGACTCTACACCCTACTGTACCCACCCTCTTTCTATGTCTATATACACCTCTGTGAGCAGCCTCTACCCCTTCTCCTGTGTGCATCCCTTTCCGGTGTCTGTACCTTTCTCCTCCGCGGACACCCTCCTCCGGTTTGTGCATTCTCCTCCTACTCATCTATTCATCAGTGTCTGATTGCGTTCTATATTCACCCATCCATCCACCTTTCTCCTTGATGAGAGCATTGAACTGTTCATTCGTATTATGCGCCATCACGTAGGCTTTGGTAAGTACATGTAGGGTTAGCTCTAGTACTATAAGCCCGCGGATCGCTGCCGCAGGGCTATAGCACATTCTGCCATAGATGTAATCTAAGCAAATGGTCCAACTGATGTGACCAAAAATTTATCCCCA